TCGGTGCTTTTGAAATTCACTATTGGTTGGGTTTAGGCAAGAGGGTGAGGGGATCAGTCAGTTGGTCAAGTTAGTCTGTCAGTCAACAGAGCTAAGCGGTCAGCTGGTAAGCGTGAAAAGGAACGGTGTCATACCGCCCCGTAGTGTTTGTTTTAAAGATGAAATGCAGCCATACATACTTCTGGCTACATAATTCGCAATTCCCAGAAATGTATATAGGGCTAGGTTTTCAGAATGAGCCTATGTTGGGATTATAAATGTAGAAAAAAGCTGTGCAGCCCAGACCTCCAGACTAACACTGAAATGGTTTGATCGGTGGGGAGAATTGCTTTTGATTTTGTCAATCGACAGACACTTTTGATCCAGCGGAGGAATGTGTGTTTTTATAGATTCATAAATATAAATGGGATTGTGTGGCTTCCTCCCGCTGACAGTCGTGAAAAGGTGATTTCTGACATCAAAGCAACTCATGCCGCTTTTCAGATGTCAAAGTCATTTCCACGTCTGCTGTACAGACTCTCTGCATGCCTGAGAGGAAAGAAGTCAACATAAAGACAGTTCTGCAAAGCGCAGCATTATGTAATGAGAAGTGTGCGACGTGCCAGAACTACAGTAACCGTTTGATGCCTTTGAACGATCCTGTTAGGATCCTTTTGTACAGTTTCATCCAGAATATTAAAACGGCGGCTCAATGGTTAGCACTGTCGTCTCACAGCAAGAAGGTCACTGGTTCGAGTCCCGGCTGGGTCAGTTGGCATTTCTGTGTGGAGTTTACATGTTCTCCCCGTGTTGGCGTGGGTTTCCTCCGGGTGCTTTGGTTTCCCCCACAGTCCAAACACATGTGCTATAGGTGAATTAACTAAAAAGTAAATAAACTAAATTGGCCATAATGGATGTGTGTGAATGAGTGTGTATAAGCGTTACCTGTGCAAAACATATGCTGGATAAGTTGGCGGTTCATTCTGCAGTGGTGACTCTTGATGAATAAAGGGACTAAGCCGAAGGAAATATATATATATTTTTGTTAGAATTTAATTTGTATTATCTTTCTATTTCTAAAGATTTTATGTGATCTTTAAATAGATATGTTAATGGACAGTTTTATTATTTAATTAATAAACCAGTTTTGTCTAAATGCACCAAAATATATCAGCTACATTCACTATAAAAGCAACACTGATGACCCGTATCTCCAAACATTTCTTATTCTTTTCCCACTCCTTTTGGCAACATGACTTGCTGTTTCTCTGCCGTCTGAACACTGTTTTAGGTACAGTCTTCGAAGCTAGCATGCATAATAATGAAGTTGCAGCACATACATAATGGAGCGCGCTGATTGGTTTGAACCAAGCCATACTCATGAATCAATGCAACACACTCAGAGATCTAATACAGTACTCCCAGGTACAGACGTACAGTCTACATGCTGGAATACACGCTAAGATCTCATGACCGTGACGCAGCTTCAAAAAGTCGTTTCAAACAGGAAGTACGAATTTGCCTGAAATAACGCAAAAACAAACAATTTTCACTTTTTAGTGAAATATATGTGTCCTCATAGTGTTTTTAGCAGTGTGGGACACATATACGACTGTCAATAGCTCAAAACATGTGTTTTAGTGTTTCGTGACCCTTTAAATTCTTGTAGTTTGAACTAGGCTTAAGAGGATTATAAATGTGGAGTTTTAAATTTTCCATTTTTTCATACAGAAAACGTTAGTCCTGTTTTGAATCAGCTATAGAGTGGAGGAACTATGACGTCAATTTGTATGCAAAAACCCGGAAGCGAGTTAGCATTTTAGCACTTCCGGTTCCCTCGTCCCAAAGTCAATGGCTTTTTTGAATGGGGTTTCAGTAAAATTGCTTAGATAAGGTCTGTGGCGAACACCAACTCAATATACTTTCACGTTTTGTTCTACGACATAAAACACATCAGTTACAGCACACTCTTCAACTTTTAAATCGATTATGCTTCTTTAAAAAGACGGGTGTTATCAAGTTGCTAAATGAGACTACAGGCGGCGTCGGGGACATTATACGTCATCGAGCTGATCTGGTCTGGAGCGCAGCTCGCTTGTGTTGGGCGTTTGGATTTGTCTGTTATTTAGGTATTTTCATGAATAGTATTTTATAGTTTGTTGTATTATTCTAATTGAGAATTCAGATTGTGTATAGATAATGCCTTCACATGTAAAGGCTGTCGAGACAGATTCATTTGTTGATCATTTATTTTAATTAAACGATAATTTGAAGATACTGCAGCCTGTTTCTTTCCTGCTCTCAGTAATGCAAACGTGTGAATAAATGTGTAAAAATACATGCATGTTAACTGTCAATTTAACGTGATCAAGTGATTTCTCGTCTTTTTTTCTTCATCTGAACACATTTAACTGCAGTATTTACACTCCTCCATAAAACGTGTAGCATATGTGACTGTATGGGCTGTTTTTCGCTGTACTTTGTGACACAAAAGGAATATTGAATGTTGCTCTGTGTCCATGATGATGAAACTTGCAGGCATTTGATAGACTTGTTCCTCCTCACGCCTAATTTCTGTCGTCTGTTTAAGGTAAGCGGGCTGTGCACGCGAGCGATACACTTATTTTAATATGTCTCATAATAATAATATATAGGCACATTTATACAAATTTTTTAAACTTTTAGAACAACCATAAAGCAAAATAGACATATTTCCCGCGTAAAAACAATCCAAAAGGCACAAAGGTCTATGTGTGTTTGCGTATTTATTAGTTTATAATATATAGCGTGGATTATAATATAATAAACAGAGAGATTAATCTTTGTCATGGACGTTATTTCTAAAAATAAGCTTGATAAGTCGTCTGTAGCAGGGTGGGGCTGACGTCACTGATGAGCGCCCCAAGGGCGCTGTAGTCCGTTTATTGCCTAATGTTAGCTTTTTAACTCTTGCGTTTGCATTTAAGATCCAAAAGTGCTCAATGTTGTATTTTCGTGTGACAATTATCCGGCTGAACAAAACGTGTAAGTGTAATGAACAGTGTTTGAACACAGAGCGTATTATTCGCAATCTTCGAAAACCCTATGGGAAAATCCTATAGGGATTTTCCTATAGGGATTTTCACGATGGAACCAGTTTTATGCTAGCAGCCGATTAGCCTACAAAGTGACGTCATAGTTCCTAGTTCCTCCACTCTATTATGCTGACACGTATGCATTTGTAGCTCTGCCTTCTTGTGAATAGAGCACAATCTCACTAGAACTTAAAGCGACAGTCACCAAAATAGCTCAATTTGAATCAAAGCCTAAAAGGGGCAGTTTCAAAGAGTTATAAACAATTATCTGTGGGGTATTTTGAGCCGAACCTTCACTTACACACTATAGGGGCATCAGAGATTTATTTTAAAGCTTGTTAAAAGCACCATAATAGCGCCCCCTTTAATAGGTTTGCATTGCATTCCAGAATACCAAACCAAGCTGTTCCTCTTTCCTGCAGTCAGTAGCCTGTTGTGAACATTCATAGATGCATGGTCAGCCACAATTAGCTGATTACCGCATTTGCTCCCAACATTGTGAGGATTTAATTTAGAATCCCTGGACAACAAGTGTGGAAATTAAACTAGTATTTAATGAGAGAGGTGTAATGATTTGGGCCACAAGGGGAACCGGAAGAACAGATGGGCTGGATGAATAATGCATTTCATAATGTTCAGCAAGTCAAGTGGATTTTCTGACAGCTGACGTGGTTTAATGGTCTTTTCTGCTGGACTGTGAGAGGATCAGAGTTTGCAGAGACGCTGAGCTCAGCACACACTCTGAGTTTATCCTCTAAATGACAGAAGTCGCTAAAGCTGATGCTCAGTTGTTTGTCTATTGAGTTGTTCAGTAAAGTCCGTGTGAAATCAAAATTTACAATGCCTATTTTACTAGTGCACATGGTTATTGCTTAGATTCTAAAAAAACGTTTTTAATTGTATTTTTTTACATTTTAATGTATACAGTTGAAATCAGAATTATTAAAACCATTGAATTATTTGCCCCCCTGGTTATTTTTTTCCCCGATTTTTTTTCAACACATTTCTAATCATATTAGTTTTAATATCTCATTTCTAATAACTGATTTATTTTATCTTTGTCATAATAACAGCACATATTATTTGACTAGATATTTTTCAAGACACTTCTATATAGCTTAAAGTGACTTTTAAAGGCTTAACTAGATAATTTAGGTTAGTTATTTAGGCAATTTATTGTATAATGATTGTTTGTTCTGTAGACCCCCCCCCCCCCCCAAAAAAAAAAAATAAATAAATAAAAATAAAAATAGATTGAAGGTGCTAATAATATTGACCTTAAATCTTTTTTTTTTTTTTTTTTTTTATTAAAAACCTCTTTAATTCTAGCCGAAATAAAACAAATAAGACTTTCTCCAGAAGAAAAAATATGATCAGACATACTGTGGAAATTTCCTTGTTAAACATCATTGGGAAATATTTAAAAAAGAAAAAACAATTCAAAGGGGGTTTAATAATTTTGATTGCAACTGCATGCATTAAAAATTTACATTAACCTATATGCATTTTCTTTATTGCATTTACCAATGATTTTTTTAAGGTAAGTGTCTGCAAACAATTTCTATGGGCTGTATTTAAGCAAACACATTTAAATATTAGCCTACTAAATTAATTTGTTTGTTTAAATGCAGCCCATATGAATTGTTTGCAACCACTTACTTTAAAAATGTAAATCCAGTCAATGATTTTTCACTGTTGATGAGTAGAAGAGGCTTTTTATCAATACATGAAACTTACTAATATCCAATTGATTTTTTTACTTGATGGATGCAGCGTTTAACATTGCTAACGTCTTCAACTCAATAATAAATACACGGTAAACTGGCCAGACGGTGAGTTTAGTTGACTAAAGTGAGTTTATCAGTAGCCGGAGTCTCCGCGCCACGAGGCCAAAAGTGATGTTTGGTGTCAGCCGACCTCGCGCCGCCTCCCGCATGATAACGAGCGGTTCTCTCGCGTCCCTCCCATGGATATATGAATAAAACATGACATTACAGTCGGTGCAGGCAGAGGTTGAGCTGAGCTTCTGTCTGCGCGTCGCGTCACTGCAGCAGAGCGTCGCGTTCATGTGATTCTGCGCGCGCGCTCACAGATAAACACCGGCGATATTGATCTGTGGAGAAACGGAGAAACCGAGAAAAACCGGCCGATGCTCAGCGCGGGAGTCTGCGGGAGGAGGACTGTGCTCAGTGTTTAGTGGATGCTGGAGGCTGTCATGACAGAAATCACGAGGAGGAAACATTTCACGCGAGCGGAGGAAGGAGGGACGGAAAGTAAAAGATAAGCGAGGTACGTGTGAGTGTGTGTGTGTGTGTGTGTGTTATGTTTGAATGTGCGTCTGTGTGTGTGTCAACCACAGCCAGAACGAGGCCAGAAGATAAGCGATGACGTTAATCTAGTATAAAACCTGTCATCCAGCTAATTTCACACAGGCTAATGTTACTGACATTAGTTAGAAATTTATCAATGGCTTGTCTGTTTTTACCATAATTACCATGGTAACCAGTTTCTTCAGTTGTTGTACAACAATAACTCAACATAACGTTTATTCGGTATTTCTTATACAATGTTTTCAGAGACACTTAATACAAACTTTCAGTTGGCAATAGCTGTATGCTACTTGATATTTTGGTAAAACGATCACGTGGAAAATGTGAGCTAATTTTTATTTCATGTGTTTTTTGTTGTTGTTGTTGTTGTTACTGGTTAAATGTAGCCCAATTAACCAAAATCTGGGTTTTAGTAAAATGTTTAAAGGGATAGTTCATCCGAAAAATAAAATTTTTACTCTCTTAAGTAGTTCCAAACCTTCATGAGTTTCTTTCTTCTGTTGAACACAAGATATTTTAAAGGGCACCTATGATGAAAATCATTTTTTGTAAGCTGTTTGGTCAGAACTCTTTCCACAATCATATTGGAGTGATATAAAGACAACAAGTATGGAGTAAGATCAGTCTCAAAAATATTGCCTTTACAAGATAAAATTCATACATGCACAGTTGCACACAGCACAACTCAGCACAATTTGCAAAATCTAAATTGTAAGTTTAAAGCACAATTCGTAAATGCACAAATACGATTCGTAACTTAAAAACACAACTTATAAATGCACACGTCCAATTTGTTATTTTCAAAACATGACTCATAAATGCACAAATCCGATTCGTAAATTCAAAACACGACTCATAAATGCACATATCTGATTCGTGAATTCAAATACGACTCATAAATGCACAAATCCGATTCGTAAATTCAAAACACAATTTGTAAATGCACAAATCCAATTGGTAAATTCAAAACCTGACTAATTAATGCACACATCCGATTCATAAATTTAAAACACGATTCATAAATGCACAAATTCGATTTGTAAATTCAAACTTGATACATAAATGCATAAATCAGATTTGTAAATTTAAAACATAATTCTTAAATGCACAAATCCGATTCGTAAATTTAAAACACGACTCATAAATGCACAAATCCGATTCGTAAATTCAAAACACGACTCGTAAAAGCACACATCTGATTTGTGATTTTTAAAACACGACTCGTAAATGCACACATCCGATACGTAAATTCAAAACACGACTCATAAATGCACAAATCTAATTCGTAAATTCAAACACGACTCATAAATGCACAAATCCGATTCGTAAATTCAAACACGACTCATAAATGCACAAATCCGATTCGTAAATTCAAACACGACTCATAAATGCACAAATCTGATTCGTAAATTCAAACACGACTCATAAATCAGATTCGTGAATTTAAAACATAATTCTTAAATGCACAAATTCGATTCGTAAATTCAAAACACGACTCATAAATGCACAAATCCGATTCGTAAATTCAAACACGAATTATAATAAAACAAATACGATTCGTAAATTCAAACACGACTCATAAATGCACAAATCCGATTCGTAAATTCAAAACATGACTCGTAAATGCACAAATCCGATTCGTAAATTCAAACACGACTCATAAATGCATAAATCAGATTCGTAAATTTAAAACACAAATCTTAAATGCACAAATCCGATTCGTAAATTCAAACACGACTCGTAAATGCACAAATCCGATTTGTAGTCAAAAAACGACTCGTAAAAGCACTTTATCTGATTTGTGATTTTCAAAACATGACTCGTAGATGCACACATCCAATACGTAAATTCAAAACGACTCATAAATGTATAAATACGATTCGTAAATTTAAAACAAGTCTCATGAATTTCTGGTTCGCGTCCTGGCTAGGCCAGTTGGAATCTGTGTGGAGTTTGTATGTTCTTATTGTGTTGGTGTGGGTTTCCTCCGGGTGCTCAGGTTTCCCCCGCAGTCCATTGGGGTACACAAAATTGGCCGTGGTGTTTGAGTGTGAATGTGAGAGTGCATGGGTGTTTCACAGTAGTGAGTTGCGGCTAGAAGGGCATCTGATATGTAAAACATGCTGGAATAGTTTGTGGTTCATTCCACTGTGGTAACCCCTTTTAAATAGGAGAATAAGCTGAAGGAAAATGACTGTTATAATCACATGTAGCTGTATAACAGTGCAGCATGATAAGTACAGTTACTTAAGAAAACAAATCAAGTCTTTGACTGTCATTATTTAATGTTTGCTTATTGTAGATGAAACATTTTTTCATGAGAACGAACAGTGACATGAAGTTTAGAAAACACTATAAAATAATGATCAGTTTCTTCACGCACGTTTTATTTCTCTGATCTTGTCATTAATAATTATAGCTGTTTTCTACATGCCCCACATTTTCTTGCTCTTTGATAATTCATCCCTGTCGGTTGTATGTCAGGAAAGATCTGCCAGTGCTGTTTGATCTCCACTGTAATGGATTCTGAATATTGCTAAATGAGCCAATCCTGTTGTTTTCCCACTTCTAAACCGAGAGGTTTTCGGTATGTTTACATGACAATAATATACTTAAAAGCTCTTGCATTTTAGAAAAGCTTAATTTACAGATTTACTGCATTGTCAAAATGATCCTTCACACACTCACTATCATTCAGCTTAGTCCTTATGAAACTTTTATTCACATTTTTATTAGTTTAAAGTGATATATTGTCTGGGCTGGTGTTGTATATTACGCTACAAAAACCTTGTAATAAACTGCCATTTTCTGATATTTTACAGACTATCGGAACAAAATATAGCTTAATGGGGCTAATCATTTTGACCTTAAAATGATGTTTAAAAAAATTAAAAACTACTTTTATTCTAGCCGAATTAAAACAAATAAGACTTTCTCCAGAAGAAAAAATATTATCAGACATACTGTGAAAATTTCCTTGCCCTGTTAAACATCATTTGGGAAATATAAAAAAATGTACATATAT